CACATTCCACTCCGAGGGGCGCTTGCCTCCCTGCTCGGTGGAGCTGTTCGCCGTTGAACTTGCCGCGCTGGAAGTCATTGTCCTCCGGTTGGGCTTGATCGGATGCTGCGATCCCATCTCTTCTGAGCTCTTGAAGTCCAGAGTTGTCTGAGGAGCATTCATGCGCCCGGCCGTGGGTCCCAAGGGGACATTCTGATATCCTGCGGCACGCTGAGCTTCGTCCAGGCGTCCTTGCTCCTTGGCGTCCTTCATAGCGCGAGCAAAGGCCTGATAGCTTTTCAGCGATGGAGAGGTCAATTTTCTTCCGAGTATATAGCGGGTATACTCGGGATGATTGTTGTGAACTTCCATGAACAAGTGACCCTTGAACTTGCCCTCGTCGAGCTGGAAGGTTCCCCATTGCCGAAGACTTGTCACTCCTGTGGGCCGAGTGGTCTGAAGAGGAGTCACATAGCCGGTGTTCAGGTCGTCGTCCTCGGTCATGTTGAGGGGAAGGTCGAGGAAGTTCATCTGATCGGCCATTCTTCAAGGGAGCTGCAATGGACGAAGTCAAGGGAGGCGCTGATGTGCACGGATGATCCCGAATGCCTGCGGGGAACTCGCGGTCCAAGTCATACTCAAGCATGATCGGCTCCGTGCTTCCATTCAAACCCAAGAAATCAACCATATCGATATAATACAGCCCTTTACTTCCTACTTTGAGGGGAATTGTCTGTTGTGATTCCGGAATCCACAAGTTATTAGCTTCAAAATCCAGCTTGCATCGCAGTTGTCGCAGCACAGCATTTGACAACAAGAATGGGGTTTTGCCGTCCACTACCTCAACCTTAAACCACTTCCTACCATAAGGGATATACGTAGAATGTAGACTAGGCAAAGTCCCATTGTTGCCAAAACGAAAAATCACCTGAGAGGGTGCTGTCTTAATCTGACTTCGGACCTGAGTAGGAAGCTGATCCAGAAAGCGCTTGTACTGGACTTTTCCAATGACAGTCCTGCTGGCTCCGGTGTCCAAAATGGCTGCTACAGCCTGATCTACGGTCCTGTCTGCTAAAAACGCCCTGTCACAAAACTCTTCAGCTTCCCTCAGCTTCCCCCATGAGGGACAACAGGTCATGAGTCGCTCTCGCAAGGAGCGTGTGGACATGGGTTTCTGTGCCGAACGCACAGTATCAACAAGTTCTTCATGCTGACCGAACAACGTTAACGCATGTGATGGCATCCTAATTAAGGCTGGGACCTTCAAAGGCGTACCCTTCTTGTGGCCATGATTCTTCTGGTGCTTGGCGTCGGCAGCGGTCAAGGCGGAGTTGTTGGGCATCACCGACTTCAAGGCCTGGTCGTAGGGCAGCTGGTCAAAGATCTCCGGGGGGGCTTCGGACTCATCATCATGAGTCTCCGCGGCAAAGTTCGAGACCTCC